AAACGACGACACCATATATATATATATATATATATATATATATATATCTTGCAACACATTATTGGATCTTCTATTTTCAAAATTTTCATGTATTTATAAATTTGTTTGATTTGAATTATTTTTAAATTTATAATTAAATATAATAACAGATTCTTGCACCATCCTAAAAATTTTGACAATAAAATTGTGACAAAGTTTAGAGATGCATATTACATTGATTGTTTAAGATTACAACCTTATGCAAACTACACCCAGTGGAAAAGGAGTTAGAAGTGTACAGGGGAACCTTCATTTGTTTATAAAGCAAATTAGAAGTATCCAAGGTTCTCAATTACTAAAGGGAGCGTTGGTTTTTTGAAGGTGGATGTGTGGTTGAATCGTAAAAACATTGTGAACGGTGGTACCTGGCGTCTTTGTCGTAGAGGAAGATGGTATTTACTTCTGACCATTGTATTAAGTTAAACTTCGATGGTAGCGGCTTCTGAAATTCAGCACTGACGGCGATTGGTGGTGTTTTTAAGAATTTATTTTTACATGTTCTCCTTTTATTTGCAGGTCCATGTGGCTTTGTGAAGGCTAATGAGGCTGAGTTCCGGGCAGTGTTGCAAGGACTTAAACTCGTCAAAGAGGGATAGCCTACTATACCTTGAGTTGTAGAAGGGGACTCTTTGAATGTGGTGAATTGGCATAGAAGGTGTAGTAGGCCTCCATGGGGATTATTGCCAAGTTGGGCTGAAGTTCATGATTTATGAGAGAATTTGATGGTTTCGTTCCAACATGTTTATCGTGATGCGAATTCAGTTGCTGATGGTCTCGTAAATTGTGGGGCGAGCATGGAGGAGCTTCTAGTTTGTAGTTTCTGAGGAGTTGATTCATGTTTGATTGCATTGTATTAATTTACCTCATTATTAAAATAAAGTAGGTTTTTCAGAAAATAAATAAATAGAAGAATTCAATAAAATATATGAATCAGGCTTGCTAGATGAGTCCCAATGCAGCAGATTTACATAAATAAATACAAAAGACAAATGGATCACATAAGGACCACATCCCTCTCAAATCCTGATCACCTTTATGTGATTTTCTTCCCTTAATTTGCATACAAACCAGAAAATATATGGTCCACAATTTCATGATATTTATGTTTCTAACATCAGGCCAGTCGAATATTATAATTCTTTTAATTTTGTTATATTTTAGGGATGCCCAAAGTTTCAGATACCGAACTACCCAATTACTAGCTCCGTCTGATGATAGAAACATAAACTTATGTAATAAGGTCACATTGCTCTAGAATGATATCTAAAATATCAACTAGCTCCTTACAATTCAATTTTTTTCTTGAGTTCTGAGTGATCCAACTGAACTACAGTTAAGCCCATATTCTTTTGGACCGGGTTTCTATGTTGCCATGCCCATATATGTGAAAATACAAGCCTTTTAATAAATCTATTTTTGAGATGGATTTTAAGACTTAATTTTTAAAGACATACAAATCTCTAACATGGAGATTATGAATATGAAAAAATAAATAAATTTTAAAAACTAAAATTAATACGCATCGGACAAACCAATTTATTTTCCAGTAGAAATAAAGGAGGAAGAAAGTAAAGCGAGGAGAATACACAAGGAAGAGGCTGCAATTGGCGGCATAACCGAGAGAGGATTGTAGGCGTCTTTGGCTGTCCAAATATTATAACTGCGGTTTCGAGTTAAAGCGTCATTCTGATGAAAATGTCCCGAGTTGAGTGGTCTGTTCCCCAAGGATTTAGAACAGGAACTTACTATTGATTTATGAGGTGTCTGATGTTTGTATTTTGATCTCCATCTGCCTACAGATCCTGCAACGATAGTTCGGTATCGCGCGCAACAGATTATGCATTCCCTAAGGGAAAAATTTTATATGGAGCCGAGGCTCTAAACAATCAAATTAGAGCCCACTCTCAACATCAAGATGCATGGATATGAGAAAATTTTGAATTTCACGTTTTAGAGTCAATTTTCAAGACTTTCAAAGTTTTCCTAAATCTGCTGGATCTACAGTTAAAATTTATAATTAAATATGAACATATAATTTAAGGCTATCAGAAATATTTTTAATTTTGAAACCACATTTCTCGACACTTTTTGAAGGTGCACTTTACTTTGATTGTTTAGAGCCTCGGCTCTATACAAACTACATCTTTCACTAACCTAGGTTAGAAAATCCTTGCAAGCGTATGGATCAAAGAACTTGGAAAATAAGAACTTTAGCTTCCCAATAATATGAAAAACCGCTCATTGTCTCGCCATCGCTTATTCCATTTTGATCTCAGCTGCACCAGATTATAAGTGGTTGTGCTCCATTCCAACCCCGTCTACACTGGGGAGAGTGCAATTTTCCTGAACCCTTTACTCTGATAAAGAGTAAATGATAAGCATCATAGCAACTCCTCAACTGTACCAGAAAGGCTTTGAGCGGAGGAACAACAAACCTCATCTGTCTGGTGTTGTTACTGGATGGTTTACCCAAATGCCCCACACACCGAATTGCTCTCATTTTTCACTGAAAATATGCATAAATACTGGCCCAATGTATGGGTCTTTTCTAACCCTCCTACATTGTTAAGGTTATGTACGACATCTGCCGACATGCAGTCCCACTCCTTTACGGCTGTACTGCAGCTTGCGCAAAATATAATTATTTAAGTGGGTAGGAATGAGACGTTATTCGGTCAGACATATTTCTGGCTCCCCATCTACAATTCATATTGCAGAATGACAGCATCCATGGAACCCGATAGGCCTTTCGAAACGCCTCTTCAAGAGCCAAAAGAAGGGGCCATGACTAAATTTCCAGTAACTAGTAGTAAGGGTCATCCCAACGAATCGCAGTTAATGGAAAACATGGCTTCCTGCAACTGTTTATCATCCTCCTCGATACCAAACACCAATAATCCTAACAATTCCAGTCCAAGGAGGGCACAAAAGACAAAAGAAACAACTTACGAGATTGATATAAATTAACAGCATGCCTACATTAAACAAATCGAACTCACGAACTGATGCGTTAAACTACATCAAAATCCGAAGAATAGCATCATATAGAAACACCTGCCACCATTCTCATTAACCAAAAGGGCATTCAAAAACCCAAAGAAGATAAAGCAACATCCAGATGGTGAGCATCTGTTGTCCTACTATTACTAACCAGTCAATTGCTGCCACCTTCAAGGGGAACAGCATTACCTGCATCCTTTATGTCATCATCAGCCTCAGGCTGTTGGAGCACATCATCCATCATCATAAGCATGTCATCATCATCCTCAACATCCTCATCAACTTCCCCACCCCTTGGGATCCTCGAAGTATTCTTGGGGCCGTGGGCCTGCCTGTGACTCTCAAGCTCTTTGTCCATTGTTTCCTGTAAATTTGCTGCATTATTTACCCTACTTGTGTTGCTCCTAGCATTAGCATTCTGCCACCTCTCAAGCTCTGCCTCCACGTTTGCAAGATACTGCTCCTCTATATGCTTCTGATATTCTGACAACTCAGCTCGTCTAGCATCCTTCCATTCCTGGAAAGACTGCATGCAGAAGAACCATGTTACTCTCTATCATAACATGGAATAGTGTCACACAGATTTCTTTTTATATCTTCTTTTAATCAGCAATTGCCATACTAAGAGATCGAGAAACAGCGTTAGTGGGAACCATTGACATTAAAAAAAAAAAAGGAACAATGTTATTCAGCAATTAAAAGTAATCAGAAAATATATTGAGGATGCATGGGTCGAGTTGCATCACTTCTGCATAGACTAGACAGTGCTGTGCGGAAAGAAAAAAATGAACACTAGGCCTATGTGCGATTGAATTTGCTGAAGTTTATGAAGGATTCAGCGCTGAAGACTTGGCCCACGCTGAGCCTGATTTAATCCAAGGATTCTTTACCTGCGGGAAACTGAAATGCATCCCAGTAGCCTCATTGCTATTTTAATGGTACCAGGGGTGCATCTAACATTACTTATTGGCTTCATGTTCTTTGCCCCACATCTCCTATGATTCTATCATAATGCTTCCTGTTGTTTAGCATTTTTTTTCCAATTGTGTATAATACTTTAAAGTAATTGGGTTAGACTCGCCATGTCCATACGTATACACCCAGCAACACCTCAGCCATATCTGTCTTTGAACTTTGACAATCAGCAGAAAGTTACCAATATGCAGAAAGACCAAGGAAACAAGTTTCAATTTAAAAGACAAATAGGAAAAAGAAAGGGCATATGATGCAGAAAGTTCCCCATGGAAAAGATGGCCCTTGATTTATTGTGATGATCAATGAATGAGCAACTATCAAGATGCAAAATCTTCAATATTGATCAATGAAAAAAGAAGGTTGGCATCATCATACCCGCTCTTTTCTTTGGTCAACCAAGGTTGGATCACCTTCTAGTGGTTTAGCAGGTAAGTAAAATATTGGTGGCTCAGACTTGGTCCTGAACAAAGAAGACAAAGAAAGTCAAACTAAGAGCATTTGTCATCTTATAACAGAAGATGTCCTCCCAACGAGCGAGTAAAAAAGCCCCTGGTCGTTTGAACACAATATAATGCACATGAACAGAAACTTATCTTTGTTCTCAATAAATATGGATACTTGGGCCAAAATTAAAAATAACCTGCAATTGAGGGAAAACACCACCTTCAACTCAATAAAATGAGGCCCAGAGGAAGAGATATATAAAGACACGAAAAAAGATCCACAAGAAGCCATAAATCAAAATTTAAGCTAGCCTCTTTTCACCATACGCTAGCCTCTTTTCACCATAAGAAGGATTAAACAGCATGCAAATGTCGAGATTGGGATAAAACAGAACATGCCTTAGGAAATTGCAAAGCCTTTTATGATGCTCACTCCAGTGTAGAAAGAGCAACTCCAACTTCTTTTCTTCTGCCTTTGCAGTAACACGTGCTCGAAGGGCCTGTCATGAAATACATGTAACAAAGAACAATGTTTAGCACATCCCATTTGGCAGAACATGAATCTCCATGCCAGAACATAAGATGTACGATCTTACGAGAGAAAACCTACCAGATCTCGTCTTCGCTTTTCTGCAAGTTGTTCGCGCTCTTGCTGCCGCAATCTCTCACTTTCTTCACGAGCCCGTTGCTCAGCCTGCAAACAATTGCAATCAATATAGAAATCACTTAGAAGATCAATCAATAGCCTGGTGATATGCAGAATTATCTCAATACAATCTCTCACTAATCTTTCACAAACAGTGGAAGTCCTTGACATTAATCTATAGAGTAATGCAGGCTGTAACAGAAACGTTCCAGATGCCAACTGTTGTCTTCACGGAAGGAAATGCATACATCGAAAGCTTGGAAAACTACAACAGCACAGCAAACGTTTTAATATGTCTAGATTTAACTTCCAAGTCATGCTGGAATTGGAATTATATGTAGTGCAGTTTAGGTTCATACAGTAATCTTACTTGTAATCAAAACCCACAGCATACAAGGAAAGAACAAAACACATTCCAGTACATATTTATTTTTTTTAATAGAAATACTTTTTGTAAAGTGGGTCACTATTCTCACCCACATGATGGCAAGGAACAAACCTACCACTGGACCATGAGGGATCAATTACTACAATTGACCACACGCCAAAACCATGTTCAGAAGATATTTAACACGTGAATTTTTCGAAACAGCTACTGATTCACCTCGTGATCAATTCATAATACAAATAAATAGTTAAATAAAAAGTGATATTATTGCCCATTGAATAGATGGCCCAGAGTCACAGTCTAAGACCAACAAATGGACAGTTTTTTGGGGGTGGTCAGCATTGTAGAAATTGATAGTGTCGTCCATAGAAGATTCACCTTCTCTTAATTCCCACCCAGTAACGTGGCACCACTAGCCACAAATTGCTTTCAAAATCTACATGCAATCTTTTGTGGGAATAGCAAAAAAACTCACTGAGTATAACAAGTCCTTTTTAATAAGTTGTGCACTTCAGACAAAATATATTCTTCAACATTTGTTTTTCTCTTTCTTTGTTAAGTAAAATGACTGGACCCTTTCTTCTTTTTTTTTGTGATTCAATAAATGAATCAACAAATTTAATTAATACATCTTGCCACATTACATGTAATGTATGGGGAAATTTCAAAATACACCTAAAATTCCTAAATTTCAAAACCCATTTTGATGTGTCATTTGATGGGTATTTGAATTTGATCAAAAGAATGATGGCTTATCTGAAATTAGATTAGAAAATATGGGTGAGATGTTAAATAGTTCATAGCTGAGGTGTAGTTCAATAAATTTCCATAATTATAATTTAGGCCCCTGCCAAGTGAAGTTGCAATATTATATGATGTAAAAGTTGCAATATTATATGATGTAATACAAACAACAAATAAAAGTGAACAATATACTTATATCATTGAACTTGGCTGTAGCAAACCATTTTATCATGGTCAAAAGAAATTCTTTAGGTGGACAAATTTTACCCAGAAATGTTGATTTGGCCACCAAATTACATTTTGTAATGGGCGATGATGCAGAAACAGTGAACAAAGCTCAAAATCAAGAATAGTACGTTTTGCAGAGAATAAGGGCATTGCATTATAGTTTATGCTGTTGGACTTTTCAACATTATGACATGGGCTTGAGTCCCATGCTTGTACTCTTCTAAAGTCTTTGATGTATACATTTACATATTTTAGCTTATATTCATTATGTTTACCATTAAATTTTCAGAGAACCAATTATAAGAATATTTTTCTGCCATTTTCGTATTAAGGGTGTCATGTCAGATAACTTAGAAGGCATCTAAAACCAACACATATTGCACTGTCAGGGAAACATAGAGGTGGAATGAATGGTCGCAACAAGAAACTTAAATTAATTATTAATAAAAAGGATGAAAAAGACAGCCAGCTCAAGGCAAGGCACATAGATTACGAACATTCAGCTTAAGGCCAGGGGTTCTCAGAAAGAGTTTATCTTTCAAGATTAGATCATTCTTTGAACCGTAATTCGATAGATTCCACCTATCTCCTCCTGACATTTAATTGTTAGTTGAAGCACAGATCAGAGGGGGTTTCATCCAAAATTCTCCCCGATTTTGGTTGTAAACTGTTTGGCACCGACCGTGGGGCATGTCAAGCTTTAAATCGCACAAAACCCAGTCAGAAAATGACCCTGAAATTATGTTTCAGAGCCTGTTTCCAACAAATCCAGGAGCTAGAAAACAATCAGAAAAGACCCAAAATTTTCCAGGGTCTGAAACAGACCAACGACAGTGCGTGTCACTGGATTGTATGCCTCCAACGACGTGTATCGCATCGCTGGAACAATTTTGCCTTGGATTGCTCCATAATGTATTCCAGCCTTCCCTTTTTCTGTTTGATTTCTACTGCTTAGTTTTCTTTTTCTTTTCTTTTCTTTTTTTTTCCAGCCTCGCCTTTTTTTTCTGTTTGATTTCTACAGCTTTTTTTTTTTAATTTACTTTTCTTGTTTGAAAGTAAAAATAAATTAACTAAAAAAAAAAGAGTTTCCTCCTTTATAGCTTCAAATTTCAGGTACTTTGATTATCTTCATTTTCTGCCGTATCTTTTCCTCTTTTATCATTACTACTTATCTTCACCTTGATTAAAAAATAAATAGAAGTAAACATATCATATTCGTTCTTCAATTAGATCCTTTTTTTCTTGAATTAGGTTCTTTCAATTCCTTGTTATATTTGTTTTGCTTCATATTTCTTGAATTAGATGCTTTCAATTCTGTCATATTCATCTTTTTCAAGTTAGATTCTTTTAGTTATATTTGTTTCATCTTGCTTGATTGCCGCACCTTTTTGCACCCACCATGTGTTTCTCTTTTCCACACTTCTCTCATACACGATCACTTCAAATTTTATTTCAAAAGCTTTCTAAAACCCCCAATACTGGCATTCAAGTCGTAAGGGAACCTAGTTTTTGTGAACGAGACGTTAGGGATTGCGCACCATCCACGTGAATGCCTCAAAAGCAATCCACAAATAGAAAGACCCTTGCCCCGCCTTTCCTTGGCACTTGGGACTTATGAGGGCACCCATTAGATGTAACCACATTTTCAACTTTTCTTAGCTAGGAACCCTTCCCAACCTGAACCTACCCCTAACTCATTAGCTCAAACCTTTTCCCCTGTGTGTGCGCACTCTTACACTAGAGCAACCATGTAAGTAATTCTAGACGGCTCGATTACCAAGTCCACCACCTCATCTACCAAGGAAAACTAAGATCAACCCTACAACCTTTCGTGGGATGAGCTTAAGTCAGCTTCATCAGCTTCCCATGGTCCAAGCTTATATCCAAGCCTTGGCAACCCAAGGGGGTGGAGTTGAAGGTTCACCCCGGGGTCCAACCCAGAGGCATGGTCAAGTCCCCTTCAAACCCATGGTCAACCTTGTCAAGTAGGTCAGCCCCAGGGCTTTCTTAACCCACAGCATAGTTAGCTGTTACTGGCTGGGGCACACACCCAGTTTCAAGCACCACCAATACTCTGGCCCAAGTCTACCTATGTCAGGCTCAGTCGGTCCAACCGGTTCAACCCTATCAACCCTAATTCTAGCCAAACCTACTGGCCCAACAATACCAGCCAGGGACCCATTTAGCCCGATTTATTCCTCCACCTCAACCTTATCAGCCTCTGGCCCAGCTTAACTCAGTTGCACCACAGGCTCAGGACTATAACCCACAGGGTTTAGCTAATCCAGGCCATGCCGTAGACCCAAACTTACCTCCAGCTGGCTCAATTAGTTCAGGTTGCTTTGCCGGTTCAAGCTTGTCACCTCTAGCGCAGTCGGTCCAGATTGTGCTGAAGGTTCAGACCCATTACCCACCGTCCAGTCCCTTCCGACTATGTGACAAGCCCAGGTTCAGCCAACCCTGGCTGTTCTGCAGACCTGAGTCTATCCCATCCAAACCCAAGCCGTCTCACCAGTCCATACCTGCTCAGCATCAACCCAAGCCAACTCACCAATGTTTGGCAACCATCCGGTTGGGGCAACCACAACCATCCAATCAACTAAGTTAGCTGACCTATACGGCAATTTTAAAACTTTCCAAGACACCTTGGCAAAGATGGGGGGCCCTGACATCTCACCCCTAAAATCCTACCTCAAAGACACATTAGTGGATGTGACAAACCTCCTACCCACGTTCATTTTCCCAGAATTCAAGAACAATTTCAGTGGAAAGGGTGACCCCGAAACTGGTGTCACCACCTATTTGCTGATTGTACCTTCTCTAGAAAACAAGCCTCACCGACTCAAGGCTATATTCCAGTATACCCTATTTGGAAAGCCATTAACTTGGAATAGCAAAGCGATGAATAATTTCCCAAATGAGACGCCCGACAAATCATACTGACGCTTTGTCACACAATATCGCCAGGCTAAGCTAAGATCAATGACCCTCAGTAATTAATTTACAACCTAACAGATCCGGGGGAATCGTTCACAGATTTTGCCACCCGATTTCGAGAACTTGCAACAAAGGTTATTTATCCAAATCATCTCAGATTAGCATGGCCATGGAGCACACACTACCTGGTACAAACTCTTTTTCAACCATGGCACTAAGCCTTACACATTTGAATTCATGCTCGAAATGGTTGCACGATATAAAAGAACAGAGGATAAGGCTAGTTCCATCAGAAGCCAATCACCAACCACATCAGGGAAAAAGCTTGATCAAGATGAAGCTCCAACTGATGAAGAAATTAATGAATTCACAATCAATCAGCCAAAAGCTCATCCCAGGTCTAAATCATCTTCAAAACAACTTAAGGATAGGGATAGAGCTCATTTATATACATAACGAACTTAGGGAACCACACCAAAGAATTCACTCCCATCAAGGAATCAATGCGAGATGTCTTCAAATTGCTTGTCAAGAGTAAAGTTGTTAAGTTGCCTCCAGCTTGGATTCCTCCCTTGCCCATAGTAGACAAATCACAGAGGCGCGAATGGCATCAAAACCACGCCCACGACACTAAGGAATGCCTTACTCTTAGGCAGATCATTCGAGACTTCATTGATAATGAAGTCGTAACTGTTGTAGAGAATGCCAAAAGGAAGGATGCACCTGTCCCCACCTTTGTCGAGGAAAAAGG